GCTTCATAGCGTCGAAACTTAAACCCGGAGAAGTAACATAATGGCAAGGATCAAGCCCATAATATTTTAAACAAGCACTTCTAAAATTTTCGAAAATATCTGCTAAAAGACAAACATCAATTTTTAAATATATATTAGAATACAACCAAAGTTGAACAATTTCTCCCAGATTTTTTTTGCATGGGTGTAATCTCGTATGTTATGTCACTCATATTTAATATACTACAGAACTCGGTTTTAGGTGGTAACATGCATTCGTTCAGTACATTCATATTAGTTACATACTCATATAGAAACATTCCCTTACGACACATTAATTTAAAGTTTTCATCATTAGAATGTATTTTCCTAGTAATTTTAAGTTGCTTGGGAATTAAAGTTTCAGCGAATTTTTCCAATAATAATGATAAAAAATTAACGAGTCTATAAATTTAATGGTTTTCCGGTTGTTATTTATCGTTTTTTTAATACACATGTATTTTTCATTGGTTTTAGCTATAACTTCAATTCCTTCGTCATCATCAACAAAACTGAGTTCCGTAATAATAAAGTGAGAATCGTAATTTAGCATATTATGTAAAATTATGGGGACAAAAGATGGAACCGAACATTTCAGGTTACAATCTCTATGTGCCGCATCTCGATATTTACCCGTTATGCGACAGTGATCCATTACCTTATCATGGAAGCGTAATTCAATGTTACAAATATGACACGTTATTGCTGTATAGTGATTATATTGTTGTTGAATAGATAATGCTTCCATTGGTATAGGATTAGAATAAATGTCATTTATACGGATAATATCTTCCCTAAGTCTAGAAATAAACATCTTCACGCAATTATTCCCGCAGTACTCTTCCATGCGATCTAAATTTTTATTATAAGAACATTTAATGTGATATGAAAAACTGTGGGGATCGTGTATATTAATTTGATTGGTATAAGAAATATCAGGTTGAGGATCGCATGTAGCAATAGGTGTTAGAATTGATCCAAAATCAGCATAAATTACGAATTCCACGGGAATTGCATATGGAAGTTTTGAAATTTAACCATGTGTTTGGGGGGTTTCGATAGAACCGTTTTAACCTTCATGGAGTTTTCGAGTTGGTGATTGAGTAGTTTTGCTTCTGAATAAAAGAATAATAAACAGCCATCATATAGAAATTTGTGAGATTTATGCTTTAAAGTTGAACGGATACCAACCGCTCTAAGTTGGAAATACAACAGAAATGTCCGAAAGGTTTGTCTTTTTGATCTAAATAAAGTAAATTCGCGTGGTTGCTATGTTTATTTCTGGTCAAGTCCAAAGGTACCGTAATTTTTTCATCGACGTAAGTGTAAACATTTACACTTTTATCATTTTTTTCTTCAAATTTTCTTATGTCGGTTAGAAATAGGTATTGGCAATCGGAACTGGGTTCCGATAGTTTTGTTACTTTGACCTAATAATATAGAGTATTTTTTTATAAATTCCACTTGATAAAAATTTATTTAAAATTAATTACTTTGAATTATGACTTACTAATATCTTCAAACTCGATATCTTCTAAAAACCAATCAATCCATAAAAAAATATTAAAAGACTATAACATTTATTGGTTTTTGTATTTTTATTATTTTATACGAACTACTTTCGGGATCACCAGGATAAACGGTTACAACTTTAACGTCCATCAAATTTGGATCCATTTTTTTCGCAACTTCAAACACTGTTGAAATAATAATAATCATTTTATAATTTAAAATTTTAACATACAGTATTCATCATTGCTGTCTTGAACGTCCATCGAATTTGCATCAATCTTATTTGCAGCTTCTAGCACTGATATAATAATAATAACAATAATAATAGTAATAATACAATTAATTATTTAATTTCAGATTATAGAGCTCATCGTCGCTGTCTCTAGTATTAGAAAATTTTGTATCAGTATTTGTTCTCTCGCTCTCCTTAACCAAATTACCTTTATCTACTGAATTACATTTTAATAATTAAAATATTTAAATTAATATAAAATAAATGCTTACCGTAAAAATTTTTCAAAGTGCTGGCACTGTAATTAACCATATTTTTCACACAGCCCGATTTTATTTCAAATTTTATATTTACAGAACACACTTTTAATACTTTATCAGCTCCTATTAATTACATTTTTTAATAACAAAAATAAATTTTTGAGATTTAATATTACAATACTATTCTATCAAGCCGTGTGTATGCTGAAAATGTCTTGAGAAATTATCTTTTTTCGGAAATGTTTTCGAACACAAACTGCAGCTATATAAAATTTTGTTGTGTACTGTTTGCTCATGACGTATCAACGATTTAAAAAAAATGAACTTCATTCCACAAGTATCACACAAATAACACATAATGATGATTATGATATTGAAAATGAGAAGACTCTAAGGTGTCGATTAAACAAATGAAATACATTTTAACCAGAAAGGAGAGTTTTTCTCGGTTTTCTGTACTTCACTTTGTAAACCTCTATACATTTTATGCCAACTTGCAGCAGTCTTCAGGCTGGAGATGATTTTCCGAGAAATTTTTATTTAGACGTTTTTAAACGCTAAACATCTTTATATATACTTTTTTCAATAAGTTATTTTACTGATGTCATATTATGGACGTATACATTACTCTTTTTTACTCTTATCTGTACTTTGTAGACATTACGTTTGCAAATTATTATTTCAAATAATTACTTTCACACTCATTTTTCTTTTCATGTATATACTTTTAACAGTGGGATATTTTTTTTAGTTTACACATTATAATTTAATATACATAAGTTTGTTTATTTTACCCATAACTATTCTTAAAATTTTCATTAGAGATTAAATTATATGTAATACAATTTGTAATTATCAATATTTTTTATTTTCATTTTTTTTCAAACAATATTCATATAAACATTATGTCACAACTCGAACTTTGATTTTTTCGTCTATTAGATACAATCCTAAGATATTTATCGACTCCTTTTACCAGATCTTCTCGAGTAAATGAAAACCTCGCTGGCAAATAAATTTGAAATGATGGTACGTCGTCAAGCTTCACCTCAGCCACTGGTGTTTCATTAAAATATTTTAATTTCATTACGTACAAACCCAAAACCTTGTACTGAACTCCACCTTTAAGATTAGATACATTCTTTCTGTGTTTAAATTTCATCTCATTTATCCATTCTTTATTAATAACGTTCATCTAAAATATATTAATACATTTATAAAAATGTGTGTCACATTGACATTGTATAGAAAGAAACATGATAATACTTACTTTTTTATCAATTTACTTCATAATATTATCGATGATGTTTTCTACAAGTACTTGACCGTTCAACTGTCATAACTTCACTAACAATAAATTTTCAGTACACAGTTCGAATAGAAATATAACAATATGCATATTTTGTGTGAATTTATATACACCATATACATTTAAATATTAGCTAATAAATACTGGTGGGTGGAGAAGGTACTGCTTTCAGGCGCTTAAATGTAAAAAATGAGGAGGTAACACTCCTTATGTGTCATACATTAAATCATAATAAACATTAGAGAGGCCCTAAATCATATATGTTATCTGTTAATAAAATAACAACGCTGATAAACACTTATCACAACATCCTATGAGTATTATGATGTGTTAAAGAATATATATCATCTGTTATCAAAATAGCTTTAATATAAACAGTTATCACTCTATCTTATAACTAAAATGCGTTTTTAATAAGTGGTAGGAGGAGGTTCCAATTTTTATGTGAAATGAGAGGAGGAGGGATTTTGGGAGGTAGCCTACAAACACACATTATACATAACTTTATTAAATATCCGTTTTTAATAGAAATTTCTGATGGTTGAAGTTATTTTCATTTTAGAAATATATTGGTAATATCTAACTTACAAATTTTCCTACAGAGTGTTTATTTTCAAATTTTCTTATTTCATCATTTTTAAGTCGTTTAGCACATACTCTATTCTGTTTATACAATTCTACCCTTCTCATTTTTTCTATAAACTATAAAATTAATTAGGTACACTAAAATTAGATTTTTCACTGTTCTTGCAACCTGATTTACTAAATTTATTTGATATAATAATGATAAATTATAAATTAATATTTTATCAAGAATTCTTTTATCAAAAATACAATACTAACAAAAAAAAAAAAATTTAGTAATAATAATAATAATAAATTCATATTATAATATCATAGTAAATTTAATACCTTATTAATTTATTAAGAAAGATAAAAAATTATAAAGACATTGTAGAATTATATAAAGTCGTCATAAAGTCTTATGACTGTTGTACAAACTTTTGAGTAAAAATCAGATCGCAATGCACAAAATTATGTTGACTGAATATATTATTAAAAATAATAGCGATTATTTTTATATTATTATAATTATTCAGTTAACGATTTAAAATGCCAATTTAAAAAACTTATCACTAGAAAAGCTGCTGAAAATACTACTTACTAAAGAATATTATGAAATCTTAAATTATTTGCATATATTAAATATTATTCAATATCTAGGTGAAAACTGTCGAAATTGGAAACTTGGAATGACATAGTTGACTATTGTTATTTAGATTAATAATTTATTATGTTATACATTAATTTATTAGTTTAATCAATTAACATTTATTGATGAAAATCATGAAAATCAAAGATAAATAGAATAATAACAAAATTATATCCTGATGAAATTTGATTAATTTTTATATATGAAAAAAAAGGGAAATCCAAATTTCCCTTGTTGGTTGTTTGCTTATATATTTTTGGCAAGACAAAAAGTCAAAACAAAACACTTAATAATATATTATTTGAAGGATAAAAACTTTATTCTTATATAATTTTATTACTATCGTATCAAAATAATACAGAGAGTTTTCTATGTAGCAACTTATTATATAATAAAACATTAAAAACTAGCCAATGTAATCAAAATTACTTAACAATTTCCGATTTTCAAATTTCCTTTTTTTAATGAAAGTTTGGTGATGGTATTCTGGAAAAATTATTCTTACAGCTGAGAAATTTTTATCAAACAAATTTTATGTTAAAATTACAGATGATATAACATATTAGTTTTGGTAATATATCCAAAAATATTATTTCTTAAGAAAGTAAACTGTCAAAAATGCTTTTATGAAAATCATTACCCTCTCAGATATAAATAAAAATTCAAGTTAATTTATTTGAAAAATAATGTAATAATAGCCATCATAAATAAATAAAAATTAATTTTCAACAGAAAATCAATTAAGGCAGCCATTTTCAGTGACATAATCAATTATATTTTGATAACCATTTTCAGTAGCTTCATAAATGGTACCTCTACTCCACGGACAATAATTTTCATGGGCAAATTTTATGCAATCAAATTGGCCATTTGCAGCAGCAAGTCTTGTTGTCCCTTCGTCCCACACACACCCATTTAAATGACTATATTTTAGACAGTCTAAATGACCATTTGCAGCAGCTCCACTAATTGTCCCTTCGTCCCAATTACATCCATTTCTATGTGCATATATCAAAATATCAATATAACCACTAGCAGCAGCTTCCCTTGTTGTGCCTTCGTCCCAGTCACAACCATTTTCATGGGCATATTTAATGCAGTCTAAATGTCCATTCGATGCAACCACTCTCATTGTACCTTCTACCCAAATACATCCACGTTTACGGGCATATTTTAAACAATCTAAATTACCAAACACAGCTGCTGCTGCTGTGATATCTTTATCCCAGTTACATCCATTTTCATGAGNACTGTGATATCTATATCCCAGTTACATCCATTTTCATGAGCATAAATCAAGCAATCTAAATAGCCTCCTGATGCAGCTACTCTAGTTGTGGCTTTATCCCACGGACACCCATTTGCATGTGCATATTTTAAGCATTCTAATTTACCATAAGAAGCAGCTGCTTCTGTTGTGTTATTATCCCACGGACATCCATTTTCATAGGCATATTTTAAGCATTCCAAATTACCATATTTTGCAGCTGCTTCCGTTGTTCTTTCATCCCACGGACATCCATTTTCATGGGCATATTTTAAACATTCTAATTTACCATTAGAAGCAGCTCTTTTTGTTGTGTTATTATCCCACGGACATCCATTTTCATGAGCATATTTTAAGCATTCCAAATTACCATTAGAAGCAGCTGCATCCGTTGTTCTTTCATCCCACGGACATCCATTTTCATGGGCATATTTTAAACAATCTAATTTACCAATAGAAGCAGCTGCTTCCGTTGTTCTTTCATCCCACGGACATCCATTTTCATGGGCATATTTTAAACATTCTAATTTACCATTAGAAGCAGCTGCTTCCGTTGTTCTTTCATCCCACGGACATCCATTTTCATGAGCATATTTTAGACATACTAATTCACCATAAAGAGCAGCTACATATGTTGTGCGTTCTACCCACGGACAACCATTTACATATGCATATTTTAAACATTCTAATTTACCATTAGAAGCAGCTGCTTCCGTTGTTTTTTCATCCCACGGACATCCATTTTCATGAGCATATTTTAAACATACTAATTCACCATAAAGAGCAGCTACTTGTGTTGTACGTTCATCCCATTCACATTTATTTTCATGTGCATATTTTAAACATTCTAAATATCCATTAGCAGCAGCTATTTCTGTTGTACTTTCATCCCACGAACAACTATTTACATATGCATATTTTAAACATTCTAATTCACCATTAGAAGCAGCTGCTTCCGTTGTTCTTTCATCCCACGGACATCCATTTTCATGGGCATATTTTAAACATTCTAATTTACCATTAGAAGCAGCTGCTTCCGTTGTTCTTTCATCCCACGGACATCCATTTTCATGAGCATATTTTAGACATAATAATTCACCATAAATAGCAGCTATATGTGATGTGCGTTCATCCCATGCACATTTATTTTCATGGGCATATTTTAAACATTCTAAATGTCCATTAGAAGCAGCTGCTTCTATTGTGCTTTTATCCCACGGACATCCATTTTCATAGGCATATTTTAAACATTCTAATTTACCATTAGAAGCTGCTGCTTCCGTTGTTCTTTCATCCCACGGACATCTGTTTTTATGTAAATATTTTAAAATTTCTAATCTACCATTTATAGCAGCTCCTTCCGTCGTGCTTTCACCCCAAGGACATCCATTTTCTTGGGCATATTTTAAACATTGTAGTTTACCATTTGAAGCAGCTTCTTCAGTTGTTCTTTTATTCCATGGGCATTTATTTTCATGAGCATACATTAAACATTCTAAATGTCCATTAGCAGCTGCTTTTTCTGTTGTACTTTCATCCCACGGACATCCATTTTCATGGGCATATTTTAAACATTCTAAACTACCAGAAATGGCAGCGGCTTCTGTTGTTCTTTTATCCCATAAACATTTATTGTTATGTGCATATTTTAAAATTTCTATATTACCTGCACGAGCAGCTATGATAGTTAGAACTATATTTAATTTATGTATATATTTGTGAGCATATTTTAAAATATCTAGATCAGTATTTTTAATAGCACTTTGTACAATTTGTAATTCATTCCAAGGACATCCATTTTCATGAGCATATTTTAAGCATTCCAAATTACCATATTTTGCAGCTGCTTCTGTTGTGCTTTTATTCCACGGACATTCATTTTTATGTAAATATTTTAAGATTTCTAAATTTCCTTTTGTAGCTGCAGCCTTTGTTGTTTCTTCGTTCCATTCACACCCATTTTCATGAGCATATTTTAAACATTCCAAATTACCTTTTGCAGCTGCTACAATAGTCGTATCATCATCCCATTGACATCCATTTTTATGAGCATATATTAAAATTTCTAAGTTTCCATCTTCAGCAGCTTTTCTGGTGGTACCTTTTTGAAATTGGCATTTTATACCGTCATCTGAATATTGAATCGCTATATGATAACAATTGTTTATTAATTTTTGCTTTTAAAATTTTTTATAATCTAGATTATTAAATATGTATACCTACTTAAAAGAAAACTATTTCAATTAAAATAGTCATTAATAAATTTTTAAAAATTAATATTATTATTTATGTTTTACTTCAATTATTATTATTTTTATTCTTAAGCATACTTAAGTCATGCTTTCACTCTTTGACAAATTATAAATATTTTGTGTCGATTTATTGCTATTAAAAAAAAAACTTAAAACCTCCAGGAAAGATTATATATTACAGACATATTTTTCTATTGCCTACTCTGGGGAAAGTGTTTGAATAACTTATGCTGTTAACACAACCCTACTTTCAAATATTGACCCTATGATGGTTAATCTAATCTTAGAAATTATTTAGATAATTTAAAATAAACGCAGACAAATCTACTAACACAATATTTATATTACGCGGAGAAATATGTTCAGTTACTACACTGAATGGATTACTAATATTTCACTTATATCAAGTTAAATACTTAAGTCTCATATTTGACAGACGTCTCACTTGAGAAACTAAATAAACAAGGAAAAAATATAATTCACGTCATCATCTAAGATCTCTACCAAAATCAAAATTTTTCTAAAAATTAAAATAATCCTATACAATGCTCTGTTAAACTGGACATACATAATCGTAATAATGGGATCTACTAAAACTTATGTAAATAGGAGTCCTATTGTAGGTCTTCCACTCAATGTAACCATGTACTCAATTTCTTTTTAAAATATGTTTAAACAATTACTTATCGTGCATAACAGAATATAAATATTCGTATATAATAATTTTTTTGGAAAAGAGTTAGTATTAATGGTACAAATCATTATTAAATAATTTTTATTGCTATTATTTCACATTCAATTGACGTCACCTTACTTCAAATAGATCATTAGGCTCAAATAATAAAAACTAATATCAGTTTGTCATTTTTTTAAAGGACTTTAAAATTATTGGTGTATTGTCTTTTATTTATATTTACTTAAACAAATTGTTATTCATACAGAACAATATTTACAAAGTAATTATATTGAACCTTGCTGCTTGCAACTGTTTTAAAATTATATTTTTAGATCGCGATAGTGTATATTTATTGCAATAAAATTTAACTTAAAATTATGATCATTTATTCATTTTTAATAAATTTATAGTAATTTTAAGAGAATAAAAATTTTAAAAATGTGGAAAAAAAATTACCGATTTTTAATTTAAAATTGTAATTTTTTTAAGGATTTCTCCCATTACGAGAAACCAGGGAAGATTTACAATTTATAAGGGGAATTTTTTTTAAATACGTTATATAAACACTTTCTTCCGACTAACTTTTAAATTAGATAACATCTCTTCATTCAATGGAATCATAACTTTAAATATGCGTATAAATATTTGTACTATTTCAACTTAATTTTCCGAAAATACTGACACTTTTATATATATTTTAAATTAAAGTTTATAAATTATACTTTGCTATGAGTAATGAAAATTTCAAACTATAGATTGTATTCATGGTGAAAATGGTTACTGTATTCAAAAATATGCTATTTTAGAAAAATTCAAGGTTTTGTATTTTATTTTATTTTAAAATACCTTACAAGTGTATTCCACTGATTTTCATAAGTATTGAATAAATCTAATTGACGTAGCTAATAGTTACGAACCCGTATTGTTATTATATTAATGTAGTTGGGTTGAGGAATAATTAGTATTAACAACGAATAAGCAACAATCAATGGCGTTCGAACCATTGTATAAATATATTGTGTTACGACTTATAAGTGATTTTTACCTTAAGACAATTAATTTATCAATTATAAATAATTGTATTTCTAAATTATAGAGCCGTTATAAATATATATATTGTGCCATAATCCTTTATTTTCATTTCACATTACAACTACATCCATTTCAAACACGTTACCCTGTCTCATTCTAGGTGGGACACAACAACTAGTGGCAGCGGAAAAACAGGAGTATCTTGCAGGAAAAGATCAAATTGGTTAGTGGAATGCGTTGTACCATAATTTGTACATCAAAAGATAAATATATACATAGTATAGTATAGTATATTGACTAGGGTGGTCCTTAAAATACAAATTTTAAAAATTTGATTTACGCGCACCAAAAATTGTTCTATTACATGTAAAAATAAACTGTGCAAAATTTGGTCCCGATAGGTTGACGTTAACACGTGCCGCAAGAGGGTTAAAAATTCGATCAAAAGGGTAGTTTTTCAGTTATTGTGCTTTATCTCAAAATATATGATTTTTACGTAAAAGTTTATAAGAAAGAAATTATACATGTAATTATTTTACATAAAAAAGATTATGAGCAAAAAAACCATAAGTCAAATATTTACCTCCTAAAAGTCAAAAGTTCCATAAATATTATGTTTACCAGTAAAATTCATATATTTTGGCATTTTAAGTATATACGATGAACCGTTCAAGTTATAAAAAAAATTTTCATGTAAAAGTTATTTGAAATTTAATTTTCTATTAGTTTTGTAGAAAAATAAAATTGTTTTACATAAGCTTAAATGACGCTTGTATATTGCTTAAACAACTCTTAGAGCGTAATGTGTTGTATTTACCATGTCGTAGACATATTTTGGAATTAGTACTAAAAAATGTTTTCGAGGTTAAACTTAATTTATGTACA